TCTTCCTATGTTTGGTCCCATTCTAACTCTCAACATTCAGTGTAAAGGAGCCTGTGTGCATGTGATGATGAGGAAATCTGGTTGCTAACAGTATAGTTCTTTCAGAGCAAGGTGCCACTGCATTGTGTTTGTTTGCGTGCTTGCTTTTCAACGGCAAAATAGTACAAAAAGGAAATGGCATGTGATGCACTGCCGGCCAGCCAGCCAAGAAATAAAAGGGATTACAACAGTGTTTAGCTATCGGGTCTTGAAATAACAGTGCAGTGTATCAGTGCTTGGTAAGAAATGTGGGCACAGTAAGCATGGAAAACACAGAGTGCATCATACTGGTTTGTACTAGTGCGAGATAAAGCAAACACCCCTAATTTTCATCAGAATGTACACAAATTAGCAGCAGTCTGGCATGAAACTGGGTAGGTAGTAGCAATAACATGCAAGAGTGCACAATACAGACGAATAGCGTAAAACATATGTCATAATTTTTTAAGAGTGCACATTTTCACAGGAGATCGACTGGAAATTCTGAATCAGTACCTCTGAAAAAAGGCAAAAAACCTGATTCATGTCTATTTCTGAAGCAAATTCACAATTTGGAAAGTTAGACACAGCAGCCCCTGTATGTCCAGGATATGGCGGGGGAAACCATACATGAATGCCCTTTTCCTTCACAACTAACGCAGAGAAGGCGGGGAGGGAAAAGACACGTTCACTGGTACCATTTGAATTCGCTCAAAGAGTTGTACCTAACTGCCCTTTTCCGAGTTGACAGACACATGTTGTGTTCAGAAAGAACACAACATCAGAGAGTCAGTCGAGTGGGCGTAAAAGCTCAGTATAAAATGAAGTGATGAATTTTTAAAGAATTTTGAAACAGAAAAAACGAAAAGTCTCCCTGCCCAGCAGAACCAACATGGATATATAGGCCGAGCGTGAAGTGGTTAAAAAGTTAAACTATTTCCTCATAACAGCTGTCTAGGTAGGATCCCCTCATTAATCCAACAGCCTTTAGAATAAGCCGGTTTGGAGTTTCAATGAGGCAAGGTCATTGAGATCACACACCCAAGACACTACACCAGCCGAAATATGATCAGCACCTGTGAATTGGTAACCAACAATGCTGGGACCTCCAGTTTACATTCCAATCTTCCTACATAACCCACAGCACCTTGGCTAGATCATTAGGTTACCAAAGGTCCCTTTTTAATTCTGCACTAAAAATTTGGCGGGGGGAAGGGAGGCACAAATCGGGATGAGTTTGGGAAATTGGCACTGCAGGCAACAATGGCTCCATGAACATATTTATCAAGTCCTGTTTCCTAAAATATTTCTGTTTCTGGGGTTTTTTCTTCTGGTTTTTTTTGGGGGGGCTCTTTCACATATTGCAAACAAGGCATTCTTTTTGTCAGGATATTTTTTTCTCCTTGTTCTTCTCCCAAAAATCCTGTGTGTTTTGTACACAGTAGTTTTTCAACGCAGCACTTTTGCCCCTTTCCAAGTTCAGATTTTGATCCAAGTTGCATCAATCAAAGACCCTATAGCGTAGACGCGTCTCAAAGCATGACATCATGATGACGTCTTCACCTGATTTTTTATAGAATTTTGAATATTTATTTTGCCCCATTCATTTTGTACACACATTTCAAGGGTCATTTTTGGACACTTGGAAGTGATTTATCAAAGTAATCAAAGTTATATCATAAAAAGACCAGAGAGCACTGTTGTTTTAGTACAGCGGTGTCATGATGATGTCATCTTTTGATTTATTATTAAATTAAAAATTTAGAACAAAATTTAATTAAATTTTGAATAATTCATTTTCTCCTATTGACTCTGTACACAGATATAGAGGCCTTTTTGGTCAGTTAGCAATCTTGGATCTTACCCACAGTTACACCAAAGAAGGACCTTAGGGAAGAGAGGTCCTCCAATAATGTTGTCATGATGACATCATCAGGTGTCAAATTACAATCAATTAAAATGCTTAATCTCCACAAATCCATATAAAATCAAATGTGACTTCCAGCGGCTTGGTGTTTGCAGTAAAATGTTCGTAAAATTGAGTTTTCTGTTTCATTTTGTGTGTGTAAAGTCACAAGACCCTTGCTTCCGTTCGAAACTAGAAGTGGCTTATAATTCAAAACTGGTGACAGATATGAACTTGCTTTCGACAGTGTTTTTGCTGTTTAATACATAAAGTGATTGGGGAAATCGGGGCCTTTAAGTAGATGGGCAATTCCACAAATCAGGGTCAAAAAGTGTGACATTTTTGTGTCCCTGTTAGATCTGACCTTTGCTATTTGACATGGAAATATCCAAAAAATTGTTTTCAAACTATTACTATTTATTTGGCAGGTAATTTGCATTAATTCATCACTCTTGGAAATCAGAAAATGTGTTCTGTACTTACAAAATCATATGTCAGATGTTACAGGGACACACACAAAAATGGACCCCTGATTTCTAGAATTACCTAGTTATGGTTTGTTTAACAACTTCTGTGACGTATAAACTATTCTGTGATCAAGTGATATAATGTATATATTTCGATACTTTTAAGTCACAAAGGATGCGGAAAAGCCCTCTGGTGTGTTGCAAACAGACAGAACAGCTCTCGTTTTTACATTACTGTTGCTTCACTCCTGGTGTCAAGTTCAGCTGATATGCAGCACGCTCAGTCTTAACCTCTCAAGATCTTTTTTAAATCTGCAAGGTTTTGGTGGATTTTGCAGGATTGAGGATAAGTCTTGACGCCTGTCAAAAGTTGACGTATAGGTACACACACATTTTGACTGTCTGCATAATGAAGGATTATAGACAACTCAGGATGGTTCCAACAAAAAAAACAAAGTAAAAAAAAAAATTTCCACACTTAAGCAATGACAATTTCTTCATCTAATGCACTGAAGAATGACCCCAATGCCTAATACACACTTGACCTAAAATTCAAATCATGCATTCATAGGGTTCAGAAATCAGAGCAGCAAACCAAAAACGACACACATGCATTGGTCTCATTCACATACCTGTGCTGACAGTCAAAAACTGTTGATTCACCACTTCTGGGATACTCACTGACCTGACCCAAATCCACCATTTTATTTTTCCGCACCTTCCTCCCGGCGTATTTATGGATGTAGGTCATTGCTTGCCCTTCCTCAAGAGGGGGGCGCGTAACATGAACTATGAAGACATGCGGTTTTCCCCAAGTATTCACAAAACACTATAGTGCGAGCTACACGTGCATCTTAAAACAACCTGATACAAACTTCTGCAGTGTTTTTTTGGCAAGCTTCTTTTTCTTCAAATCAGAAACTGAACTTCAGGCTTTGAGTTCAGGGACTCTTGACTGGAGGTGAGTATGCACAATAAGCCCAAGCAAAGTCCCTACAGTATGCCTTCGCCCAACATCTATGAAATAAAAAGTCGGTCTATCCCATTCATGCTTTGAAACACATGCACATGTACATGTATGTTTAGGCACACAAGCAACTGCTCGATCACGGTATGTCAGCCCACAAGGGTATCTTTGCTTGCGGGGGTCACTTTCTTCCATCCCCATACTCACACATGCCTGTTTTACATACAAAGTATGGACATTCCTTTGTTCTCCTGTGGTTAAGGAAACTTGAGGAAAATGCTCCTTTTTCTCCAACCAGGATAACTCCTTCAAGCTGAATTTTTCAATGATGATTTCCTGGACTGTTCCTTGTTCATTTTGCCACGGATAACCTTGACCCCAAAATGCCTCTGAAACTGTTTTTCAGAGAGGGGAAAACACTGTGTGGACGTGTGCAAGTCCACACAACACCATCACACCCTACATTATGTGGACTTCTTTTGTGCAGAGGTCCACACTATGTATGCCATGCCTGCACAAGCCTACAGGGCTGCGAAACAGAGCACTGTTTCCTCATGGGCCGGCATTTTCACCGACAAATGTTACTTCAGTCTGCCAAGCTCAACACAGAATTACTTGGTCTCTGGAGAACACAATTGCAAACATGGCTGTTTTCCCACGCAGCCGATAATTTAGTTTGGAAAACTAGCTGTTTATGCAGTGAGCTCGTTGAAGCCGTCCTTCGTGACCCACATGTACCAGTACTTCTAAAAGCTTCCTCAAAGGCACCTGTACACGCATTTCCCCATTCCTCTGACTGCCGACGCATAAACTACACCTTCCTTCCAGCCTTCCCACTACATGTACCATGCGTAAAACCATGACAACAAGTAAGACATGCTGACATTCTGCTGACCTCACAATATCCAATCACCCCAACTCCATTCTAACTGAAAATCATCATGCAAAATAATGACAAAGATATTCTTCTGGATTCTATTCTTGGTGGCAATTGATTTCTATAATCACGGTTCGGCAAGCACCTACAAGTTGCTTGGGAATGGGATTTGTTTGAAGCGGTTGCATGGCGGTAAATTTGGATGTGCGTCGACTCAATCCAGAAACCTGTAAGTCCTGTGAATGTACATGTCAGAAGAGAAATTTAGGCCTCATCCGAAAATACTGGTTAAAGCTTTGGAACAAGACTTCCACCAATGGTAACCAGGTGAGTATACTGACTAGACACACTGCAGGCGAGACTTTCAAAGCCAAACAAAAACAACCAACATTGGCATTTACAAATGGACCGGATTTCTCAAAATGTCTCTACGACCACTGCTTTCCGGCGTGAGGAATCCTGTGAAGCGAAACTGATATTAAAAGAAGTGTTCACAGAGCAGTACAAATCAATCAATGTGTTGCTTCTTGGGCTGCAAACCCAGTCCACATGTTCAACAGAGCCTGATGGGACTCAAACGGAACCCCTCTAAAACTGGCGAAAGACAGGGACTTCACCGCTGCATCCATCAGGCCAACTCAAACAGCTTAAATGGCTACTTCCTTTCATCAAATTCAACACTGTCGAGATCAGCAGGGGTGAATCCTCAATTTGACCTCTGACAACAAAACTCACAGATACTTGGGTCTGGCCAAATGTGAGTACCTGAGCAACAGTCTGTTCATTGATTGGGATGTCGTCACCTCGAACCGCTATCCTCTGTACTACGTTGTTATAATCAGACTCCAAAATAATCCTGAAAAAGAGAACAGGGACAGTATTAAGCTCAATGCTACACAGCATCAGCAATTACTATCAATCCAATTTGCAGTCATTACGGTTTTTAACCTGGAAAGTGTGAAATCAATATCTTGCTTGCATGTCAATACATGCAGGCATACCCAACATTGTGACTTTGTGTCAGATTTTACAGACATCTATGTATCTGACCCATCAGGCAAAACACGAAAATGTTCCATGCAGACCCCCACAAATATTACGAATACAGTACAGAATATTAACAATGGAGGAAATAATAGAAAACAAATCGACCCAAAAAATCTGATATCCTATTAAATTATAAATATCATGGCTGTGTTCCGTACGCCCATCCGTGGCTTGTCAGCCAATCTGTGGATTTCAGTCTTGGGCTCAGCATGTTTTACAACATCCTGTCATTGGTTTTCTACGGGTTTTTAGGTGAAGATTTTAAAGAGGGATTGGGATATAAGATTGATGTACACTAGTCTGGGGAATGAATGGTCCTCTGTCATCATCTTGCAGAGTCCAGATCTTTAGATGGATTGTTACACTGTGGGTCTGATGGACTGGACAGGTGCAAATTATTAAAGAGACCCATCAAACTCATCATGGAAGACAAGTTCCTCAAAAGAAATTTCTGACCAGATACACGTGCCAATCAAGTGTCTTGCAAACAGAGCCTGGTGCTGTAAATGATTTCGGCACCAAATGAATCTGCCATGCTACGTGTTGAACTGGTCCAGGTTTTACTGAGTACGAAGCTGACTATAAGACCCCACGTTTCACTTACCCTCCGTCCACTATCTCATCCACGGCGAGAAAAGCCGCATCCAAGTGATCAAGGAGAGCTCGCTTCTCAACATTCTTTCTGTAGTCGGGAGAAAAAAAGGAAAGAGCATACTGATATAGGAAAGACACACAAAGAGAAAGGAAACAAAACAAAATGGAAGACTGACACAACTGTAAACCCCAAACCTACCAAGGATCCTTCTGTTTGCTCTAATTCCAAGACCATACTCAAACCATATTCAAAATGGAAGTTCTGAAAGAAATCCAAAGAAGTGCAAACGCGGCAAAGAGGTTATTCAGAATTGTCAGGTTTCAACCTTGTGAATTTTTTTTTACGTTTTACTTACACACACACACCTTGCCACATTTTCAATCTTAAATATTAACCTGCTATTCAAAACCTCCAATGCATAAATACAGCTTTGTGGGTTTATCCCTTTTACACATGTATTTCACAATTTTGATTTGTTCATGTAAAAATGAAATGAAAAATGACATTCAACATGACTGACAATTTTGGACAACCCTTAAAATGTCAGACGTTGACTGCAGAGCAAAAATGCATCAGGGAGGAAAGCACCAAACAAAATGGTTTTGTGCCAATAACATGTATCTACATATACATGTACTTTCACAATAGAAACCATCTTGGACTGAAAGTCATTGCCAAGGTTGAGAGCTTCGCAATTCCCATGCACGCCATACAGGTGAAGAATGGATCTCTGGTCTCATTCTTGTTTGAAAACTTGTGGTTGTAGAGCTGAGGAACGATGCCACGTGTCACAAAAATTCAAATGCTAAGGAGCTTCGTACATGTATATACAGGTACATGTAGGATGAGGGTGGGCCCTCACAGTGCTGTGGGGAAGTTTTCTGTTGTTGGGCAAATTGTTGGGGGGCTTTCTGCTGTCCCCGCAACGTCTTTAGTCCTCACACAATTAGTGTAATAATGAGTGCATGTCCCCACACATACGGGACAAGTTTGCCTACATTACAGATGGACATGTACCAGTAGGTAACAGGCTTGCCTAGGGAGTGGCAAAGTATGGTCCAGGCAGGTGACAAGATTTCAAGGTGCATGTACTGTACACGAAAATAAGACACAGGTGCCTGGATATTGTACAAACACCTGTTAGCATGAGTCGGTAATAAGCATGCATACGTATACGTGTGCACGCATCAGGTACATGACCATACAATATCTGAACTGTGGTCCAATGTGTTTTAAGTGTCTTTGGGGAAAATACATGTACAGGTAACATGAAAATGAAAAGGGGGCGCCAAACACGCCATTTTCAAGTAGATAGATAATCAGTACTTATACAAGTCATCTGAAGGCCAGGATATTATTGATTTTTGAGACCCCTAAACTTTTGAATTCCCAAGTCTGTACATTTTCTATGTACGCTGCATGTATGTGTCTAACGTCAACAAACTTTAGGGCTACTGACGAGACCAGGATCATCATCATTCCATCACTCTCAACACCAGGCACGACATTTGAAGGATACATGTCCTTTACTACATTATCAATACATGTAAGTTGACTTCTCTCGATCAACACCATGCACTTGTGACATCACCGATATGCAAAAGAACTTGTTACAAGTACATCCTGAATTATTTGCAATAGATCAGCCTCTAATCCTGCAACCATGTAAATGTACATACAGCATATAGTCAATGCAGCTGAACACATGCAAACAATGTCTCATTCTTATTTAAAATACCGGTACCAACCGTCACGAAAGATTAACTTTAACTTGCCTCAAGTTTTGACCCTAGCTTTTATTTATCCACGGCAACTAGCAAGCAGACCATGTGTTGCCCCCCCCCTCAATCAAGTTTGTCGCTTATGTTGAGGCACACTTCCTCAAAACAAGGATAATTACTCACTGCCTCTCTGGGCAGCCACTGAGAGTTGTGCCTGCAACTCAGGAACGGGACTGCATTTCCCGAGGTTCAAAAGGACAATCGATGCAGCCGCCAACCAGCCAATTACACTTGCACAACGAGCGTGCGCTACACCCGTACGGGACACGTTCACTGCATTTCCGAACTCGGCTCACCAACGCTCACTGCCAAGGGGGGAAGCACACGGGACTGACCCAGATTGGATATCTGCTGTGTTAACGCTAACAGTCCCTCTGAGCCCTGAACCCCGGGACTCTGCCAAAAAGCCCTGGGATGCAAGGATTTACCCTGTAACAACTTTTTAGAGGAAACCCGCCAAAGCTGACATTCTCAATTACAGTCTTGCTTTCATCCTGGTAGTGGCCTCCCTCTGGGAGGTGCCTGCGGGAGAGAGGGGAGGGGAGAGTGGGGGACGGATGGCCCAGTTTTTGGGGCATCATTGCCCTCATTGCCAGAGGCACCCTCCCCAAGCCGCTCTGTGATCAGATAACCTCCCCTTGCGCTCCCCCTCACTGCCTCACACTGACTCGTCTAAAAGTCACAAGCAGACCAAGCATCATGATTGTGTCATAAATTTCTAGCTCACGCTTGTTCACACAAATGCAGGGAGTCCACTTGGTGCTTTTAATGGTATTCAGTAAGCTTGGAACTTTAACGCTAAGTAGTTACAGGTGTGCCAATCAGCAACTCATGTGAGGTGCTGCTTGGTAGAGATTCGAAGCAATGACTTCTACCTAGACCATTCCATAACTAAGTGTGGTTTCATTTGTCTGATGTGACTTCATCAAGACACAAACACAAGTTCTTTGGATTTTCACTGCAGTGTTTCATAAACCACATGCCGCATGCGAGCTAACCAGCAATATGTATGTGCATTTTGTCTTCTGATTTTCTCCAAAACAAGTCTTCCTGGCGATCTCTCTTTATGATCACTGAAGAAGAGTCACAGGGAAAACACCAGACAGCCCCCCTACAAGAAAAAACTCCGGTTCAGACATTGTCTTGAAAAGGGTAAATTGGTGGTAATATGGGCAGGGTGGAGGTATCTCCAGATTCAGGGTGAGGGTTGTCGGGTGCCTGCTCCGCCTCTACTGCGTGCGAGAAGTTCAAGGCCCGACTTGTTCCATTGAGATGTGACAGCATGGTATTTGCCCTAAACCCCAGCCGGTGACTCACACCACCCCTGATGCACGCTGATCCCAGATTTACCCCTAAACTGGGCTATCTCCCTCTAAAAGCCCTCGTCTTTACGGCCCGTGCACATCCCTCCAGCACATCAAAGCTAAATCCTGAGCAAGGAAGGCTGAGTGGAGAAGGCCTTTAATTCCCCTCCAAATAAAATACAAGGAAAAGACAAGCTACCAAGCTACAAGACAAGCTGACTCTCTGAGTCATCTATGGGTGCTATCGGTGGGTGCAGCGTGCACATCTGATATGCTACACTGTCTTGGTGGTACCTATCTTGTTTGAGGACTGTCTTGAGAAAGTGTGCCACAGCATCTCTGAACCTTTTCATCTATAAGCATGTCACAAGGCATGTTTTTTGGGGCTTTCACTGGTACATGGCACCCACGTTCACAAGAAAAGACTACCTACAAAATTACACTTTAAAATTACAATTACAACCCAACGAGACCAAAAGCAGAGAACTTCTCCCTTGATTCCTACAGACTGTTCTGCCCTACCAGTATGTAACCACATAAAAAGCCTTCCAACTGCAGTATGATCATAAGTTGTCAGCATCTAGACCTAAACTGAAGTATTAGTTGAACAGAACCACTCATTCAGAAAATCATCTCCCCCCCCGATTACCCCCGGTGTCTTCTATTCCAGGTTGACTTGAAGTATCTGGCTACCCATCAAAGTTCCAAGATGCCAACATTTGCCACAAGCAGGCCAGACTGTTGACACCTATACGTGAGCACCTACGTACCTCAGCAGTTACAAAGGCAGACATTTCAACCGATATCAAATGCACCTGGTGCTAACGTAGATGTATGTCCGCTCGTACATGTATATACCGGTAAATGCTCTAAATGCTGTTGACACCTGTACCGGTACGTGAGCACATACGTACCTCAGCAGTTACAAAGGCAGACATTTCAACCGCTATCAAATGCACCTGGTGCTAAGGGAGATGTATGTCCGCTCGTACATGTGCATACCGGTAAATGCTCACGGATACTCGTTCCGAAGATGGGAGAGTGCTACAAGTGTACTGAAATATACATGTAAATGTTTTGGGGACCAAAAATGTTAACAGGGACAAATTTTTGATCCCACAACTTCATCTTGACTTCACTCACAGAAGAAATTGTCCCACCAATGTGGCAACAGCCTGGGCCACCTCACAAACCAAACAGTACCCACACACCCACACACATTTGCTGCACATGTCTCCATGTATCTATGTCTTTGAGTTGTTTTTAAGGTACTCGTATGACCAATTAATTTCATGTGTGCCTGAACAATAAGGAAAATATCTACATTTACGCAGCGATTCCAGCCAGCCACTTGGTATTCTACAAATGGTGAGTACCAGGCTACATGTGTTTCAACACTGTGTCTGCAGGCTACACCACAGACCACAAATCCCCAATACTTCTAATTACAGAACTTCCTCTGAACACAACTCGGTAAAAAAAAAACACACACACGGGGGCACATTTCAAGAGCACTGTTTTTAAAACAGTACTAACATTAATTTCAAATGTTCTGATTTACATGTTTAGATGCTACATGTTGGTTTGAAATGAGTCCCCTTATCCAAAGTTGTGCATGTGGACAGTATGGAACTGATCATGTGCAGCAATGGTGGGCCTTCTATTGAGCATCTGTGCTTAAACGGACCATGAAATAGAAATGTTTTACTAAGATTTACTAAAAACCTTGAAATTTCACCTTTTGGTTTCAATTAACCCAGTTTTGAATTATTGTTTTATTATTTTTAGCCATGTGTTGGAGCTTTTGTGGATTTTATGCTAATGTAATTTGCATATTCATAAGCAAACTATGAAGTCATCCAAGGCACTGCATCTCAGTGTTGCATTGATTTTATGCACAAAGAATCTCTGGATGTGTGATTTCATTTCCTTTGGCAAGCATTGTGGAAGTATGTGGCAATAAGCCAGTGAGCAACCTTTTTTCAGAAGTGTTTTCAAATAG